GCCCACTTTTGATGTAGGTCAAGATTTCTGGAAACCCCTGAAATCTGGGTTACCCCACTTGTCCTTAAAAGCGACCATATATGTGACGAGTCCCGACGGTTCAGTCCACTAGGTACAGATTTCATAATTTGAGTTTTTGATACAGACGCAAAGAGCACATAATTCCCCTCCATGTTATGACACCAATATCAAACGAATATGATAATATTAAAAGAAATGAAACACAAATTTTGGAATGCTTCACTGCTGTCCGAGGCAAAATACTGAGATATTCACAATCGAAGATAGAAAAATACCTCAATCACAGAACAAAGACATTCTCCAAAACAGCTTTAAAAACATGTTTAACAGCAAATTTTAATGATTTTTATTGATTTTCCGACAGAAAGGTAATTCAAAAGTTTAATAAAGGAAAACATTTTTTTGCTCATTTTTAGACCCACCAAGTATTTTTGGCAATTTCTGCTGTTCAGCAAGTATTTTGGGCAATTTCTGCTGTTCAGCTCGATGTACCTAGTGGAGCGAATCGCCAGGACGCGTCATAGAAATCTACGGGACGCACGGGAAGGGGGGAAGGGGGGAAGGAGGACATATTTTCCTTATGAGCAAGTTTCAATATGTACGTGTTGAAAATACAACAAAGCCTACACAAGAACAGCTGAAACTAGCACAATCAGGCCAAAGAGGTGCCGAGGATTAGATGTGTTACTAGAGAGTGACATACAAGGAAAAACAAGGAGGAGAGATAAAGACGATAGATGCCCGACAGGAAAGACGGAGCAAACCATACCAGCCAGAGCATAAAAGTAAAAAATCCCCCCAAAAATTGGAACTTTGCACAAGAAGAGAAGCAGGAACAATCGACAGTTTCATTATAATCAAAGATAGACTAAACTCTCCCATCCCCGACTCTGTAATATATGATAAGGCATTTACAGATTAATTAAAGACAAACAGTGCAGAAGGAATTCATCCAACAACTGTAAATTTGATCACACATGTACTATTCCCTTAAATTACCCTGAAAATTTTATGGGTTCAGGTAGACACTGATGAAGAAAAAATAGTATATCGTTGACTAGAAGTCTATGCACTGAACTGATACAAACACACACCCTAGAAAGCGCTGACCGCTGAGAACAAAAATCGTTAACAGCAAAATTCAAATACACAAGTGAAAAAGCAGACTTGCCAACTTTTTCAAAACTTAATCAGGGACACCAAAGTGACAACATCAGATTATGCGTAACAACTAACACAATCACATAATCTCTAGTGGGACAGGTTTTGCTATAGCCTATGTCATGGTATGGCATAAAGTTGTCACGGAATAAAGTTCTCAAATTCCCAAAAGTCGAATCCGGGAGTGTCTCGGGAAATTTGGAACCATTGGCAAGCCTGGGAAAGGCAAAGAAAAAGTTCCTTTACAAAAACATGAGAGCGAAAGGAATAAGCTCAGAACATTGCAATTACAAAAAAGGAAAATGGAAATTTTAAAAGAAAAAAAAACCCCAACAACGCCAAGTTGCAGCACAGTACTTCACAGGCAAAATCTCATCACGTTCCAGCAAGCATAGCAAAACTTCATATTGTCGCTGTCGCAAGAAAAACGAGTAGCGCCAGATTTGTCTGCCCATCCTGTAAAGCAGGGTCAGACCAGGTCACTCAGTTTATAGTTTTACGGAACTTGCATCACAAATAGGTCATGTAAGTGCCATTTATTAGAGTTGTGTTACTACCAAAGAGTAACATACAAAGAAAAGAAGGAAAGAGAGATAAAAATGATAGATACAGTAGTCTCTGCCTAAGATCCTGGTCCTGGGGAGCAAGGAAAAGCGGGATCTTAGGCGAACCGGGATCTTAACTGATGAACTGACGAACCCAGGAAAAGAATCTATGGTGACCCATGCTAAGGCTCACAATCGATAAAATGGTCTCCCTCCACTCTAAAATGAACTGACATGACCGCTTAGTGGGTTTATGACGTATGGCGAGCAAAGAGTGGTTAACTTTGATGACATATCACAGGGCATAGTGGGATGAGGCGTGCTATTTTCACTTATTATCCTGTCATGAGTCTCAAGATCTACATTTATCCTTTTGCCCCTCCCTCTTACCTGTCGAAAATTTATAGCTTTCCATCTCTGACCG